CTATTACATGCCTTGAAATAAATTTAACTAAAGAGGTGAAAGATCTGTACATTCAAAACTAAGATTTTGTTGAAAGAAAGAGAAGAACAAATGGAAAGTTATTCTGTACTCATGTGTTGGAAAAATTAACATCATGATATTACCTAAAACAGTGTGCAGAGTAAATGGAATTCTCATCAAAAGCCCAATGACATTTTTAAAAGTAGAACAAAAAATCATGAAATTTATTTGGAAACATAAAAGACCTTGAATAGCAAAACACTACTGAGAAAAAAAAAATAATGGAGGTATCATGCTCTCTGGCATCAACCTATACTAGAAAGCAATAGTAAGTAAACAGCTTAGTATTGGAATAGAAAAGGACACACAGAAAAGTAGAAGAGGATTGAGAGCCCAGAAATAAAATCACACCCTCCAGGGTCACTGTAATGTATTATTTCTCTATTATTGACATTTATGGTTAATCTTCACCAGGTCTTTGATCTGATGATGTGCTTAATTGCAGGAAATGCAATAACTAGAAGTATTTTTAATAACCTAATGCTCCGAAGCGTACACACTTAACTCCTCCTTTATTCCCCATAGGAAGGTAGACTCCTCCACATTGCAATTAGCCAGAAAGAAATTGCAGCTCTAAAGGTTCAGAGAGGGGCCTGGTCTGAAATATGTGCACCTCCAGTCACGTCATCCTACTTGTTAGGAATTATAGCTCCTTCACGCTTGTGACTCGACATATAATTAACCTGAGACATTAAGCAGTTCAGTAGTAAGAACACAGGAGAGTGGTCATATCATCATTTACCATGGGCTAGCTCCACTGGCTGATCAGTAGTGTTTATCTCCTTGATTGCCCTAAAACATTCAGAATCTCACCCCCAGGTTTAAACCCAGGGAGTGCTGAAGTAGTATAACTCACACCATCACCTCCAACGCCCCCTCTCCCATTTGTGCACTTGTGCAGAAGCAGTGAAGCAGTGCCCTGATCTTCCTCCTGTCTTCCTGTGCACTTGGGTCAGCACCCCATGACATGACAGTGCTGTGCAGACATTCCAGCACATCCTCATTGAGTCTGATGGCCATGATGTTCTGCACATTATAAAGCCAGTCATCTCTTGAGATTTGTGGCCAAGTACAGTGACCCAGGACCCAGGTCCCCCCAAGTTCCAAGTGCAGCCATGCCATGGGAAAGGAGAAATGAGGTGGCAAAGATCTCATTTCTTGGTTGCATGGCATGTGAAGAAAGATTAAAAAGTTTGGGGCAGCAATTAAGCCAATAATGATTCAGCAAGAAGATGTCAGCCAGATCAGCTGATGGGATTTTAATCTCTGCAAATAGAAGGGCAATGCCCAGAAACAGGGTGTGTGCACCCCACTGTGTCATCTTGGAGCCCCACCTCTGAGCCGAATCACTCAGTAAAAGACAGAGACGCACTCAGCATGTTCAGGAGAGGAAGGGGACCAGGACACCAGAGAAGCTGTTGTGTGTCTGAAGTGGCAATATCCACCCACCCCCAACCCCCCGCTGCTGACAGGGCCAGCACATGAAGATGACCCCCTGGTGCTCTGTGCTCTGCTCTTACCTGTCTGCACACCAGCCAGTTGGAGGGGTGCCAGACCACCCGCTGCCAGGCAACCTCTGCCAGCTGGTGACCCCACTCACCTCAGCGGCAAAATGCTTCCCGCTGACAGTGTGCTCAGAGCCGCGGGGGTCATTGCTGCTCCCCCAGTGCAGGTGCAGCTGTGTGGCGCTGTAGCGGAAGGGAAGGCCGTGGAGGTGCAGGTCTGGGGGCAGGTTCAGTCTCACTGCAGGGAGAGGAGGGGCAGCCTTCAGAGCCCTGGCCAGCTGGGTACTGCCTGAACGTAGGTAGGCAACCCTACCAGAGCTGGCACAGGGGCAGATGGTCACAGTAAAGTGAAGACCAGAGAGGTGCAGATTGCTGGTCAGAAACATGGCTCTTTCCCGAAAGCAGTTCCCACAGCCCCACCAACCCTCTCCGTCTCCCTTGAGAAGTGATGGCAAGAGCACTAGGCTGGAGGGTGGACGCTTACTGACGTGTACATGTATCACACACCTAACTGTGAAATGAGGCACCTGCCATGCCACAGAAGTATAAAACAACAGCAGTCATGACAACTGCTATTTATGGTGTCTATTCTCTACCAGATCCCCAACATACGTGATCTCAGCTTCCACGGTACCCCTCAGGATGCCATTTTTTACATGGAAGTCCAAAGTTAAGCTTCCTATACAGCATCTCATGACTTGTAACTGGTCAAGTGAGGATTCAAATCCAGGTTTCCCTTTTCTACTAAATGTGACGACCCTCTATCTAGTTCATGATGTGCCAGACTTCACCCTCACACCGCAGCCAGTTTCCAAGGGGCTCTTGCCTGCCCCCTCCCATCCCAAGAGATGTGCGTCTGCTGAGAGGTGCCGCCCTGGCAGAGCCACCTGAGCCCAGGGCCTTCAGCATCCCTCAGGCTCTGCCCCAGCCCCTCCTCCCGCTTTCTCAACGGATCCTTATCTCTGCCATGTAGAAGGGGCTGGTCAAGGAGCCAAGGGAAGTTTAGATCCCCTGAGGAGCTGGATTTCTCTCCCTCACCTGAGTGGCCATTATTGGTCAGGATAAATTGCTCATTGGCAGACACATTGTAGCCTTGGAACTGAAGGGGCATGAGGCTGGCATTATACAGGAGGATGTTACTGTGCAGGTCTATTGGGGACTGCAGCAGGCCCCCACATGATGGGTACTTCTTGGACCAGCTCTTCTCCCCATTGGGACCTGGAAGAAGAGATTCAAGCCCAAGATTTAGTCAGTTTTCCACAAAAGCTTTCCCTTCATCTTCTAATTCTGTGTTCAAGGCAGCTATTCCTGCTATTCCTTTTCTGTTTTAAAGATTTATTTATTTTTGCATACAAGAACTGGGGTACAGGCCAGAAGTGGGGGGTGAGAGGATTCACCAGAGACAGAGGGGGGACCAGAACAGGCAGCTAGCTATTCCTTTTCTTCTCTTACTCTTCAGAGTTTAGCCTTCAGAATTAGATCGAGAAAATGCAAGTCTACTTGTTCTAACAGTTCTGTAGGGAAGGAAGAAGTACAGCAGTCCCACGCCAAGGACCAGAGCCCACCAAGCTCTTTTTTACTCTGTATGGTTCATATTTTGACACAATATACATTCTCTCCACCTAAAAACCTGTTGACTCTCAGTATCTGTCTATTGGGCACCTATCGTGAGCCAGGAATTATTCTGGGGTTCAGGGTTGCTGTAATACAATAGGGTCCCCAACCATTCAAGCAAGGAAGAATTTAATGAATCTTCAGGAATGCCCCAGGTTGGAAGGTTGCCAAATCACAGCTCCAGGCTGGTCTTTGACATGGTGGATTTACAGATATGATCTTCCTGATAGGACACCCTTGAGGACATTAACTCTTGACACCCATTGTTACAGTAAATATAGAATACAATATGATGTTGATGTTTGAAAAATATCAAGTAATTGGAGGCCTGGAATCACAGAGCTAACTGTAAAGTTTACACTAGGAAAATAATATGACTGTACTACAAACTAATTATTACAATATAATTGACAAACTATCCATGAGGAGAAATAGACTTTAAAAAATAAATTTTCCAGAGCTCAGACTTTGGCTAACTGCAGATAATAGTGCTTTCTTTGGAAATGAAAACAAACAATCCAATCCTATGTTCAGATAAACTTTCTTACTCCCACAGGGAAAAGTCTTTAAAGAATGTAAAGCTATGATTAAAAGATTATCTTCCATGGTAATTAAACGGATTTTCAGACTGAGGTTTCTCCAGAAAAGCAAAGAATCGACATGTCATGGCTCGTTGGGGTAGAACCATGGTGCCCTCTAGGCCCCCTCAAATTAGGAGCTTGCAATCTGGGTTCATTCATCAGTATTTTAGTACAAGGAAAGGTGTTATCTAGAGCAGGGAGGGAAGGAACACTTCTGGGAGCCCTTCCATAAACACAGCGCCATTTCACTAGCGCTCAAGTAGGAGTGCTGGCCAACAGAATCTCACTTCCTACACCTAGCTCTCTGCCTGGGGGCACATCTGAGAGTAGGGAGACTTGGAGGCAAAACTTGGTGCTCAGGATAATTATTTTCTTTTCCACAATTTTTTTTAAAGATTTATTTAGTTGTGCAGACAGAATTGGGGTACAGGCCAGAGGCTCAGGGGCGGCGAGAGGCTTCACCAGAGACAGAGTGGGGAGCAGAACAGGCAGATCAACGAAGTACACTGCTGAGGGGAGCAGTGGGTGGGTCAGGAGAGGTCTGCTACGCCATGTGGTCATCTCCGGGGCAGGCGGGAATCGAACTCATGCGGAAGTGGCTTAAGCTTCTTAGTGCTATGCTTTAACCTGCTGCGCTACCACGGAGGGCCACTCAGGATTATTTTTAAATGCTATGAGAAGTTGGTCCTAAGTCTGGACACACATAGTTTTTACTAATTTCTCAGGCTATCAACTTCAGGACTTCTGGTCCAACTATTCACTGGACCCAGTCTTCTCACTTGTGCATGTCAGTCAGTCTCCACTGAGCAATACTGTTTTTATTTCCCAGTCTTCAGAGCTCTGGATATAGACAACTCAACCACAGCAAGGTGGTGTCTAAGGGAGAGGGAGGCTGGAAGACACCAACCAGTCACTCCAGGGCAAACTGGAGGACAGTTAGTGAGGGCAACACCAAGTTCCTCAGGGGCTGCAGGGCACAGAGATGAAGCATCATGGGATACACCATGCAAGCACCAAGGGTCAGGAGGAGATGCAGCTCAGGGCCACCAACCTCCTCTCTGCTCACTCAAGAAAAACTGGGGAAGTAAGACACAAAGCAATCATAAGATTTCTCCTTGCACCACTAAAGGGACCTGGGTTAGAAGGAGGACTTTCTTTTCCCAGAGCAGAGATTCTAAAAGATTTCTTGAAGAGAGCATTTTAGTGACAACTAAACTCCCAAATGTTGGGGTATGGGACATCTCACTTTCATTTCTATCAACCAGGGCTGTGATTAGGATGACAGGTTTAACTGGCACTTAGTAAATATTTCCTGAAGAATGAATACCACCAAAGAACTTGGGAAAGGTTATCAGGAGGAATTTTTTTTTTATTTTGTCCTGAATACTCTTTATTGTAAGTTAGGCCAAATTGGGTATGTGGGGATAGAAAGGGCAAGAGTCAGGGACGATAATTAAAGCCTTTCTAGAAAGAAAGAAGTGCCTCGACTGGATCAGGAGAGTCCAGAGAATAAGATTCTTGTGCCAGCTGTCCCATTACTTCAGTGAGTAACCTTGAGCAAATCATATTCTTTACCTGGTTCTCATTTGACCTTCTACAAATGGGAGGGTTCGACCCTATGTTCTGGAAGGTTCTGGATCTCAAGCTCCAGTATTTATTAAGGTTGCTAGGACTCTGCATAAAGCAAGTTTGAGCAAGTTGTGGAGAGTGGCTCATGCCAAGTCAGCCCCCAGGCATGTGACGGGTGCCAAGCGGAAACAAGCAGTGAGAACTTATGCTCTGAGAAAAGAAAGTCCTTCTACTAACCCAGGTCCCTTTAGTCGGTGTGCAAGGAGAAATCTTACTACTTTGCCTCTTATTTCCTGCGTTTTCCATTCACACTGGACTGGCAGCTTCTCCCTACCTTGGAAGAGGCTGGTGCTGGAACTACTTCACTGGAACAACTTGCTGCCAGTTTTGGCTGCCGCCCACAGGGGGCGCTCATCTTTAAGTGACCGTCTCAGGCCCCTAGGGCAGCGGTGTCCAAAAAGCTTTTTTTCCTTCTCCTCCTGGTGCTTCTTGTTGCTGCTGCTGCTTTTATTGTTGTTGTTGTTATCATCATCATCATCATCGTTATTAATTTAGTGATTTTGGTTCTTACAATTCTGATTCTATGGGTTTTTACAGTTCTAAAATGGGCAAGGTAAATTACCCATTTTATAGATAAAAAGTGGAAATGTAGTGCTTTGCCCAAAGTTAGATTTTAGCTTAGTTACAGGGTTACCTTGCCTGAGTCACAGGACTTGCCAGAAAAAAAACTCTCTTGAAACTGTCTCTTTCCCTAAAAAGCATTTATTTATAGCTATCATAAAAATCACTCTCCTAAACTTTGCCCTCTCTGTGAGTATTGATCCAGGAGATTTTGTGCCTGTCCTCTCTCTCCCATGCTCCCCTTAACAGGAGGAATCATGTCTAGTTCACCTCTGCCTTGTCTACATGGCCTGGGGCAGAACAGCACTCACATGTTCACTGAGCTATATTTTGATGCCTGTTTCATGCTTGTTCTTTTCCAGGGAAGCATGTACTTGTATTAACCCCCTAGACTCTCTTCCCTATATAATTTTTTCTCTGGGAAAAAGCAAACAAACAAACAAAACAAACAATGTCACTTGCTTAGGTTTCACAATTTTCCTACCTAGAATTGGAACTTACCTGCATGAGGATTTGTTCTGTTTGGGAGTACTCATCGATAAAGAAATCTGATTGTTGTCCTTAGCCTGGGAGACGCCTGGCATGAATGGGCCTTTATAGCAGTTCATAATACCCTCTACCAGCCTGTGACTACAACTGGTGTCTGCTTCTTGCACAGTTGGGGATCACTGTCTTTGTGACTTGTGGGTGAGAGAGAGGTGGCTGTGGTGGGCACAGGACTGCTAATTGGGGAGTTTGGCAGCCAATTCCCTCTGCCCACAGTCAGGGCACTGTGCAGCTTGCCCTGCGTCAACACTGGCCTTTCCTTTCTGTAGTGGCTACACTAGCAGCTGCAGCCCAGGCTGTAACTTTTCAGCTCAATGTCAGCTTTCACATTTGTGCCAACGGATCTGCAGCCAGAAAAATCTCTCTTGGGACTCACTCTTTTGTAGCTACCATAAAAATGTCACTCTTCTGAACTTGGCCTCTTCAGTTGGTTGGATTTCTCTCATGATCATAACAAGGCAGGGGCCATGTGTAGCCCGTTTGTTTTTCCAAATAAAATCAAAGCATTATTTTTTCCCAGGTCATGATTTTTTTCTGTTGTAGGCAAAACAAAAGTGGACCAAATTTCTGTTTTGAAATATAACAGGAGATTAATGTGACACAGCTCAAAATGCCTCCTATGACTTCTGTTTGGGAATTATGAGGCCCGTCATGCAAGACTTGCATTGCCCAAAGGACCAGAATGTTTTCATGGGGAATTTCAAATGCATACAAAAGTCAAGATAAAAGCAAAAGGGAGCCCCCATGTCCCTCAGTTCTGACATCTAATGATTCACAGCCAACCCTGCTTCATCTATGCAGTGCCCACTCAACTCTATCCCTGTGGAATTTTTAAACAAAGTTGAATGTATTTCGTCAGCACATATTTCAGCATGTATCTCTAAAACACAAGGGACTCTTACACAAAATCCCAGCACCATTACCATGCTTTAAAAGTTAACAACTAATTCCTTAAAATTATCAAATCACAGAAGAACTCACTTTTTTCCCCTCATAAATTTTTATTGGTTCATTTGTAAAGTCCAGGATTGGATAAGGTCCACAGATTTTCCTTAGTTGCTGTGCTTTGACCTACCTCAGCTTGGTGGGGTGATGCCTCCTCAGAGAACAACTAACTGGCCCTGCCCCTCCAGCGCTTACAACCCAGAGCCGAGCTGGCGTGGTCCATCCTTGGCACTCTGCCATCACAGAATCCCAATTCTGTGGTGGGATTCTACACCTTCACCACCTGGCTTAGACCCTCACCCAGCCACATGCAGAGGCTCCTCATCAGAGCCCCACAGCGGC